TTTTCTGTTCACTGCATTTTTATAACAACAGTAAAACACTCAACATGGACTATACCTAACCCCTTGGAAATGGCTTTTGCATCTATGTTATATTTTTATTGCATTCTAAACTTTTCTGACCATGTTACTGATTGTAGGGAGTTCTGATATTAATTAATAGGCTAGAGCCCTACCTGGTGTGGCTCAGTGGATTGAGTGCTGGCCCGAGAACCAAAGGGTCCCCGATTCAGTTCCCAGTGTAGGGTTGCAGGTCACGTCCCCAGAAGCGGGTGTATGAAATGCAACCACACATTGGCCTTTCTCTCCCTCTCTTCCCCTCTCTAAAAATAAATAAATAAATATTTTTTTTTCCAAAGTACTACTTTAAAATAATAATGAAAATGCTAATAGACAGACTAGGTAATTCCTGTCACTCCTGGAGAGAATAATTAGGAGAAAGAAAACACAATATATCTATTGAAAGCATCACAGAACTAGAAATAAAGTGAAAAGTAGGGTTCTAAGATCTGAGGATTCTCAGCAAAGTAATCTGTTACATGGACTTGCTTTTCTTGTGGGTATGTGTTTATTTTCAAAAATGGCTGCTGAGACAGCTGAGAATCTGAAAGGAACTTTGAGCAGCCCTGACCAGTGTGGTTCAGTTAGCTAAGTGTTGTCCCGCAAAACGAAAGGCCACAAGTTTGTTCCTTGTTAGGGCACATGACTTGGGTTGCAGGCCCAGTCTCCGCTGTGATGTGATGTTTCTCTCACATGTCAATATTTCTCTCACACATCAATGTTTCTCTCTCTTCCTTCCCCTCTCTCTAAAAATAAATGAATATAATCTCTAAAATATATAGAATAAAAAGGAACTTTCAGCAGATTCACAGGGACACACACACCCCACCCCCGCACCCCAACCTTTGGATTGCAATTGCTAACTAATATAAGCCAGGGCCTCGATTTTTTTTCTTCAGTTTTTCATATAAAAACTATGAAAAACAGCTAGGGATATGAGAAGACAAGACTATATAACAGAATATCGATATTTTAAAAAGCAGACAGTAGAGGTAAACCCACAAGGGTATCCAGATAATTGAATTATCAGACACAGATTTTTAAGAAATTATGTTTTAACTTCATGATGGGACTTAGCTGAAAAGAACATGAGCGAACTGGAAGTTATATCACAATATTATCCAGACTGAATCATAGCTAAAGGGTGGAAAACACAGAAAGGAATATGAGAGCCTTGACCAGGTGGCTCAATTGGTTCAAACATTGTCCCATACACCCAAAGGTTGCGGGTTCAGTCCCTGGTTGGGGCGTATATGGGAGGCAGTTGATCAGTGCGTCTCTCTCACATTGATGTTTCTCTATAAATCAACAATAAAAAATATCCCCGGACCCTGGCTCATGTGGCTCAGTGGGTTGAGTGCTGGCCTGCAAACCAAAGGGTTTCCAGTTTGATTCCCAGCCAGGGCACATGCCTAGGTTGTGGGCTAGGTCCCCAGTAGGGGATGCGCAAGAGGCAACCACGCATCAATGTTGTCTTTAAAAAAAAAAAACATTCCCAGGTGAGGATTTAATTTTTTTAAATATTTTTTTTATCCTCAACCAAAATTATATACTTTGATTGTGAGAGAGAGGAAGGTAGAGAGAGAAATATTGATGTGAGAGAAACATTGATTAGTTGCCTCCACACACAGCTGACCAGACACTGAACCAGTGGCTTTTCAGAGTACTGGGCGACCCTCCAACCAACTGAGCCACACTGGCTAGGGCACAGGTGATGATTTAAAGAAAAAACAGTCATGTGAGAGACCTATGACACTTGATGAAAAGGACATGATGTCACAGAAAGAGGAGGAAAGAAATGAAGCAGAAGTACAAGTGTGAATATTCTAAGATGAAGAAAAACATCCCAAGTACGATAAATACCTAAGAAACTATTAATTGACAAGTACAGAAATCAGTCAAAAATTGAATGCATTCCAAATGTCCATCAATAGTAGAATGGACGAATAGTACTTGCTACACATTGGAATATGCCAATCAGTTAAAAGGAATGAACTACTATGTGCAATTGTTGAATGAATCTTAGAGTCAGGATGATGCCCTGACTAGTGTGGCTCAGTGGGATTGGCATCATGCTGCAAAGTGTAAGGTCACTGATTTGATTCCCAGTCAGGGCACATGCCTGGGTTGCGGGCCAGGTGGGAGAGGCAATTGATGTTTCTCTGGCACATCTGTTTCTCCATCCCTTCTTTATCTATGATAAAAAATAAATTCTTAAAAAAAGATTGTTGAGTTTCTGAAATTTAAAATAAAAGCCAAATTTTGAAGTCAGAATAAGGATGGCCTGTGGGAAATTAGGAAAGTTTTTGTGTGGGAAAATACCTAAGGAAGGTTTCTGGGCTATTGGAAATTTTCTGTATGTTTATCACGGTGGTGGTCATATAAATACAGTCATTGTGGGAAAAAATTTCATTGAGCTCTGCATTTAGGATTTATAAACTGTATGTGTAGATGTTATTCTTTACCAGCTGAAATAAAATAAACCCCACCAAGGCACTGAAAGAAATTTTCACCAGCAGACCCAACACTAAAGAAATACTGAAAGGTTGTTTGGACAGAAGAGTTTTGGTGCAGGAAGAAATGAAGAATACCTAGAAGTCAAATAGTGGGTCTAGTACTTATTGGACCTTTGGGTGAATCACCTAACTTGTAGGTCTTAATTCTTTGCATATAATGAGGGATTTGTATTAAATAACATACTAGACATCTTAAAATGTATTCCAGGAATAAGGCATGGAGGAATTTGGGAGTTCTTTAGGTTGAACCTGAACACTAATACCAAAAACAAAATAAAGACTTGATGAAATAAGAAATTTGAAATTAGGTTGAATTAAATAATGCAGTATAAACAAAGGAAATACTTGCTTTATTTATGTATGCACGAAAGCTAAAGTGAAAAAACATTCAAGATCTTAGTGTCTTGAGCAGTATAGTTGATGTCTCATTTTCCATAATTATACATATATATGCCCCTTTAAGTGTGGATAAGTCCATAAAATTAAAAAGTCTAATGTTTTTGTGTTCAAGGTTCTTACTTTTCCCATTCTAATGATAATGAGAAATCATATAATAGTTGACTATCTTTATTTTTATTAAATCTAGTTCGTTATCCAGATAATATTCAGAGAAGATTGATTCCAGGATGCAACTTTTGTTTATTTTTTAAATTTATTTTAGAGGAAGGGAGGAACATCGATTTTTTTCATTCTGCTTGATTATTACACATTCATTGTTGCTTCTTGTATGTGCCCTGGCTAGAGATCTAACCCACAACCTTGGCATATCAGTAGCTCTAACCAACTGAGCTCCCCAGCCAGGGCAACCTATGTTTATATTATAGATAAATTTGTAATTTCTTTTTTCTGTGGAGTGGTTCAGAATGATTTTGTTTTCTAAAGATATGACTTAGATTGAAGAAGGAAAATTTAGCCATAAAGAAACTTCCTTTCTGATTATACTTGGTAATAAAAAAACCTTTATTGGCATGTACTCCATACTAACCACCATGTCATCCTTTGGAATGAAGTAATTCCTTAGTTACTTGTTCTATTTTGGTTTTGCCTGTAAGATAAAAGGTATCTGAAAATAGGACAAAGAATATTAGAAGCAGTGGGTGGGAATTTAGAAATGAAAATGGCATTATTAGTGTTAGAAGTATTGTTAGAAGCCTTTGGGGCTGTAATAGGTGGAGAGGACCATAAGGCCTCATGCTGATGACAAAAGCCATTTTTTAGAAGAGCCTCATTTTTCAAAGCTTCATCAAGAAATTCAGAATCTCAGGGCCCTCCCAAGACCTACTGATTTAGAATCTCTATTTAAACAAGATTCCCAAGTGATCTCATGCATATTACAGCTTGAAAAGCGCTATTACCTGTGTGTAACATTGTACCATTTTGAAGCCACAGTAATATATTTTGGGGACAGGGGGTGTCTCGCTGTGTGAAATCTTTCCTGAGTAATCCACCACATATATTAATACCTGTCAAATAATATTTTAGAATGCTAGGAAGTACTTGTGGAAAGACTTGCTTTAAAATGTTATGTCTAAATTACATGTATGTCAGAGTACTTTGAAGAGAAATGTATTGATGTCTACATATTACTTGAAATACATAAAAGAGGATGGATTGATTATTTAGAGGGATGAATACATAAAAGGATGTGATAAAGCAAAAAGTAAAATAGTGTGAAGAGGAGGGTAAGAGGTTAAAGGGTGTCGAGTATGTGTTGACGGAAAGAGACTAGATTTTGGGTGGCAAGCACAGAATGCAGTATACAAATGTATTATAAACTTGTATGCCTGACCAATGTTACCCTCAGAAAATTTAATTTAAAAAATTATAAAACATGGTAGAATCTATTTGGCGAGCATGTAGGAGGGAGTTCATTGTAAAATTCTTTCAACTTCTCTATATGCTTTGAATTTTTCACAATAAAAGGTTAGGGGTGAAACTTATGAAAATTGTTATCTTTTAAAACATTCTATAGTTATTTTTGTTATTTGCCTATTTGCTTTATAATGTATTGATACTTTGTTCTTAGAGAAGGAAAAATGGCTAATAGTCTTTGCAAGTTCCCTGGTATCAAACATAAGGCTTTACTGTAGTACGGACACAGTTTAATATACTACTTGCACAATCTAGTAAGCTCAGGACATACCTTTTAAACCTGGCAGGTCTGACTTAAGAGATGATGTCTACCACATTGCACAATTCCAGGGTCACTGTTTAACATCCTTGGCACAGTAGAGTTATCATTCAGTTAAAATACAAAGTGAATAGTTCCTCTGGGGTTGGGTAACAAGTCTCCCTGGCCGTAAACACTTGCTTCAATGGCTGCCTCACTGTTCTCTTAGACTTGTAGAAAATGAAAACTTTAAGCATTTTTCTGATGTGAATTTTGAATTGTTCCATGACTTTTTGTGTGTGTGTTTTATTTTTAAGATTCTTGGATCTCCCAGTCAGCATCATTTCCACGTAATCAGAAAAAGCCAGGGGTGGATTCTTTAGCACCAGTGGCCTCACTTCCCAGACAGATTTGCCAGCCTTCAGCCCAGCAGCAACTTACTAAACCAGCTAAAATCACTTGTGCACACTGCAAAAATCCTTTACAGAAAGGACAGACAGCTTATCAACGGAAAGGATCAGCTCACCTCTTTTGTTCTACCACCTGCCTTTCCTCCTTCTCTCATAAGCGTACTCCAAAGAAACGCAATATAACGTGTAAAAAGTAAGCTATGCTTTCCAACATGGCTCCATGATTTGATAATGACAGTGTAAATGTGTGTTCTGAATATAATTGAAGAGCTGAATAAATTCATGGGTAGAGGTGTTCTCAAGTTTATTGAGCTTGAGTTATCTTAGAGTTTATTAGAGCTGTGGGCTCATTTGTACTGTCCTTACTCTTGGCAGGAAAATGGAGTGTAAATATGGAAATAAATTCATCCATTCCCTGCCACTGACTCTACTTCAGTCCCTCCCCCATTTTCTACCTAAGTTCTAACAAGTTGCTATCACCCTTTCTGATTGTTTGTAAAAGTCATCAAAATCTGTGGCAAGGTTCTAGTGATGCAAAATATTTTTATCTCCACATCATCTTTCTCATTTTATTTAGGAATTCTTGGTGATAAAAACAAAAAGTGGTATTTGTTAAATTAAAAAATTATATTTGATTCCTAGTTACTAAATTATGAGAAAATGAAGACTGTCCATTTTTTTTTATATTTGAAAATAAAATACAGCATTGTTAAATTGTATTTATTCCTTTGTTTCAGAGATGCACCTACAAAAAGGGCTAATGTTGTTCCTCGAGTGCAGTCGAACCAGCCTCTCCAAGAATTCTCTAGTTCATACTGTGTGTCTCCATACGAAGACAACCAGAGTCTCAGAAAAAGAATTCTGAACAAATCAAGATGTACAATCTGTAGTAAACTAACAGAGGTCAGAATTTTTATCTAATTTAGGTTATTATCTAGAATAACTTTAACTCTTAAGTGCTATTCTATGCTCTGCCATCTACATACATAATGCACATGTCCTGAATCTAGACAATGAAGGTAAAGGAAGGAATAAGGATATGTGAGAACTATGTTATAAACAAATGTCATATTTGCAGAATGTGAAAAATACACATTTGTTTTTAAGGAGTTGGATGTATTTGTCCACAGATCAATAGTTATATGGTGAATTTTGTTTTTACAAGACACGCTAAACAAAAATGTATTGTTCAGGACATGGAGGAAGCACCTGATCCTGGTGCAAGAACATACAGAACATGTGGACTGAAAGTATGTTGATAACTTTACATTTCTTAAATGGTATTGCCATCACTCCAGTTGCTGAAAGAGGCATGCAGGCAGGCTTCCTCACCACAGTTCTTGTTAACTGATTTTGGTGTTGGCTCTCCCAGAGACATGCAAATCCAGGACACAACTTTATCTCAGTTACCATAGAGCTGAGCGAAGCAAAAAGAACTTAGTCTTATATATGTATAGACACCGTCTGAATATGAAATGATGATTCCCTTAGTCCCTTCCACAAATTTTTTAGGGCAGTGAAGCTTATAATACTAAGAATTCTCAATCCATTTCTTTTAAACAGGTGGTATCAAAATGTTCTAAACCTGGGTGTTTTTTAGAATGCATAAATGTCTCTGGGAAAGTTATTACTGATTTTATTGCTTTTTGTTTTATGGATCTGTTTTCTTCTTTTATAAAATCAAAGAATGATTCTACAAAGAAATCAAAGATAAAAATGAAAGACTAAGGACAAGGGCTTTTTAGCCTTTTTTCCCTCTGAGAAGTTAATACTTTGTTTCTGTTGAAGAAACTAGTTCTCTCATTGCTTTCTATGCTAATGTGGCTAATTTATTTGATAAGTTCTCATTTTTCTTTTAGATTCGCCATGAAGTCAGCGTTAATAATGTGACACACAAACTATGCAGTAACCACTGCTTTAATAAGTACAGGTTGGCTAATGGCTTGATAATGAATTGCTGTGAACAGTGTGGAGAGTACCTGCCCAGCAGAGGTTCTGGAAACAGTGTCCTGGTGATTGATGGCCAGCAGATGAGATTCTGCTGCCAAAGTTGTGTTAATGAATATAGACAGGTAATTCTTTTAATAAGTTTTAGATGATCCGATATACAATAGTTTCTACCTGTTACCTTATATTAAGCAAATTGATCTTAGTATCTCATTTAGTCTCACTTTTGTCAATCTGTTATTGAGCTGTCCCATCTCAAGTGAATATTGAAATAGCTCGTTCTAAGCAAGATTGTTTTAAAATATATGTATATATTATTTATTAATTTTAGAGAGGGGAAAGGGAGGTAGAAAAAGAGGGAGAGAAACGTTGACTGGTTGCCTCTCACTATGTCCCCAAACAGGGACCTGGCCCACAACCCAGACATGTACCCTGACCAGAGATTGAACCAGCGACCTTTTAGTTTGCAGGATAACACCCAACCCACTGAGCTTAGAAAACTTAAAAATCAACCCACAGGAGGAGGGCTTAGAAAGGAATGATGGCTTCTGCCAGCACTTCTGTCTGGGAGAAAGCTGTTTCCAGTTCTCACCCTGATCCCTGACAATTCGTTTTCTCCTTCTATGTCTCTGATGCCTTTCAACCTGCTGCAGCCACGCTGGAACTCAGAGGGAGTGAGTTCAAGTGAGTCTAAGTGACTCTGTGCACAGACCATTTAAGAGTAAACTGCCAGAGCCTCCAGTTTCTGTCTTCCGCAGCCTCAATCCCTGATGGATTTATAGCCGGAAGTTATGGGGATTTACCTTCCTGGCACTGGAACCCTGGGCTGGGGATCCTAGTGTCAGACTGGGACCACTTGCTCCTGAGATATCCATCCTGACTTTTCTGCCACATGTGGGTATGGGACCAGCCCATTCCTTGTCTCTGCCCTTATTACCAGTCTCGATGTAGTTTCTTCTTTAATTCCATAGTTGTAGGACTTTGATTCAGCTCAATTTCTGGCAGTTCTGAACAGTGGTGGTTCTATAGTTGTAATTTTGAGGTGGTTGTGCAATAAGGAAAGCCTTATTTACCTATACCACTATCTTGTCTGGATGTCTTCAGCCATTTTTTAAATTGGGTGGTTTTCTATTATTGAGTTATAGAAATTCCTTTTTTAAGTCTTTTAAAAAATTTTTTAATTTATTTTAGAGAGGGGAAGGGATGGAGAGGAGAGAAACATCAATGTGTGGTTGCCTCTTGAGCACCCTCTACTGGGGACCTGGCCTACAACCCAGGCATGTGCCCTGACTGGGAATTGAACCAGCTATCCTTTGGTTCACAGGCTGGCACTCAGTCCACTGAGCCACACCAGCCAGGGCAAATTATAGAAATTCTTTGTGTGTTCTGCGTGCCTATCTTTTATAAAATAAGTGTATTGGGCCCTCACTGGTGTGGCTTCCTGGGTTGAACTCTGATCTGCAAACCAAAAGGTCACCAGTTTGATTCCCAGTCAGGGCACATGCATGGGTCACATGTCAGGTTCCCCACTGAGGACACATGAGAGGCAGTTGATCAATGTTTCTCTCGCACATCAATGTTTCTGCCCCTCTCTTTCTCCCTCTCTTCCCCTCTTTCTAAAAAAGAAATAAAATAAATATACTGGGAAGATGTTCTGGCCAGTGTTGTATCTTTTCATTTTTTATCTAGAAGCATTTTCATTTTGGCTTTTATGTTTAGGTCTGTGGTCCATCTCAGGTTAATTTTGTATAGTAAAATTAAAATTAAAAATTTTAATTTTTAAAGTAAAAGTTTAAAAACTATCATCTTTCTGGCCCTGGCTGGTGTGGCTCAGTAGATTGAGTGCTGGCCTACAAATCAGAGGGTCGCTGGTTTGATTCCCAGTCTCGGGCGTATGCCTGGGTTGCAGGCTAGGTACCCGGCCTTGGGCACATGAGAGGCAACCACATAATGATATTTCTGTCTCTCTCTCTCTTTCTCCCTCCCTTCCCCTCTCTGGGAATAAATAAATAAAATCTTTTTTTTTTTTTAATTATCATCTTTCTGACTTCAACACATTAGAAACCTCAAAACATTACATTGGACACCAAAAATATTTTTAATTTTTAATTATCAATTATACCTCAGTAATGTTGGAGAAAGACATTAAAGTTACAGTGATCAGGATAGTGTGGAATATAAAATAAATAAGCAAGTATAATAGATAGTCTAGAAATTGAATAACATCTATATAATCAGTTGATTTTAATAGAAGTTACCAAATCATTTTGATGGGAAAGGCAAGATATTTTTAACTGGTAGTGCTTGGATAATTTTTTATTTATATGGAAATAAGTGAGCCTTGATTCCGTTTTATCTCATACATGAAAATTAATTCAAGATGGATCATAAATGTAAAATCAAGAACATTGTTCATCCTCACTGGGTAAGAATTTAAGTGGTTAGCTTTTAGGGACAAGTAACTCAAGTGCAAGGCTTATTTAACAGTAGAGGAAACAATTGATACCCATAGTTGATTATACATTTTTGCAAAGAAGGTCAGTTTATAGTCTATTCTTTAAAAAAAAAATTATTATTATTTATTTATTTATTTTTTAGAAGCATCAATTTGTTTTTCCACTTATTTATGCATTCATTTGTTGCTTCTTGTATGTGTCCTGAGTGGAGATCAAATCCTCAACCTTAGCCTACTAGGACAGTGCTCTAACCAACTGAGCCACCTGGCCGGTGCCTCATTTTTTTCTTTATTTATATCACACCTTGGTATTTAACAAAGCTGTTGGATGGGGCTTATAGAGAAGTACAGTGAACAGTTAAACTTGGCAAAAATACATGATAGGTTTATCTTCTTAAAAGAATACATGGCAAAAATAACCTAATGAACTGGATATGGTAATAAACATGTATGTTAGGTCTTAATATTTTAAGTCTTTTTTTAATGGATCATTTACCTGTATCTGCTTATTAGACTTAGGAGTTTTTTGCAATGATCTCATAAACTTCAGACAGACAAAATGCGTAGTCTGTGAAGAGCATATGGCTTGCACATAGATTATCAATTTGTTTTACTCCTACACAAACACCAGAGAAGATAAAAATGGGAAAATGTGCCAAGTCAAAATAAGCGGCAACCTCAGAAACTTTCTCGAATAACTCTATTACCCGCCACTCTGATCCCCAAAAGAAGGTTTGTCCATCCTACCATGGATGTATCAGTAATATAAAATACTTCATAAATAGTTGGCAAATGCAGGAATGTTTCCCTATAATGCAGAAGTTTTAAAAATGTGCTTCCTACCACCACCATCACTACCACCACCACATTGGTATTTATTTAAAAGTGATTAGTAACAGGCCTTGTCACATTGGAAAACCTTTATGATCTATAAGGACCTTAAGGAAAAACTGAAATTTCAGTCATAAAATCGATAGACTTAATCCTGACCTTACCCAATGATCTAACCCAGAGTGATTTTGTCCCCCTAGGGACATTTGGCAATGACCTAACCATTTTTTAATTGATTCTAGAGAGGGGAGAAGCAGGAGAGAAAGGTGGAGAAAGGAACATAAGTGTGAGAGAAGCATTGATTGGTTGCCTCTTGGAAATGCTCTGACCAAGAAATGAGCCAGTGACCTTTTAGTTTGCAGGACGATGCCCAACCAACTGAGCCACACCAGCCAGGGCATCTTAAACATTTTACATTATTACTGCGGGGGGTTGCTGGTGGCATTTAGTAGGTAGGGTCCAGGGATGCTGTTAAACATCTTGCAGTGCCAGGACAGTCCCCACAACAGAATTACCTGGCCCAAGATGTCAGTAGTGCCAACATTGCTGTCTTGTAACCAAAGAATAAATTAGGTGCTAGAAGGTGAGTGTGCAGTAAGCATTATAAGAAGGAGATCTAATTTCCTGTCATCCTCATTGAGGATTCAACTGATGGTGCCTAAAATTAGGAGGAAAAAAACAATAAATAGAGCTGCAGACGTATTACTTTGATATTTGAAAATAAACACCAAAAGAATCAGCTAAATGTGTTCAAAGTGGTTAACTTATGGGAAAGGGGGAAAGGGGACTATTTGTTGTTTAACTAGTTGATGCTTTTTACTAAGTGTATACTCAGTTTTGATTAAATAAAACAGTACAACATGTTAAAGGTAAAGAAGTTCAGAGAAAACATCTTAGCCAGAATCACAGCTAGATTTGACCTCATGTCGGAAACCTTCGTGTTCTGGGTGCCTATCTTTTATAAAATAAGTGTATTGGGCCTCACTGGTGTGGCTTACTGGGTTGAACTCTGATCTGCAAACCAAAAGGTCACCAGTTTGATTCCCAGTCAGGGCACATGCATGGGTCACATGCCAGGTTCCCCACTGAGGACACATGAGAGGCAGTTGATCAATGTTTCTCTCACACATCAATGTTTCTGCCCCTCTCTTTCTCCCTCTCTTCCCCTCTCTCTAAAAAAGACTAAGGTTTTTTTTAGACTTAAGACTAAGGACTAAGACTAAGGACCTAAAGACTAAGGAAACCTTAATTAATGCATGATAGAAACATTTGATTGTATATGTGCCTCATCCCCCTAAATAAGTCATAAGTCTCCTGAAGCCAGGATCTATATCTGATTCCATTCAGAAGTCCTCAGAATAACTAGCTTTGTGAGGTGATTATCTCACTGGGACACTTCTGAGACTGAAATTATCTGTTAAATGTAGTTATCTTCATCTTGGTACCTTTCCTCCCAGTGATTTCCCCCACCCGGTTTTTTAGAGGGTTTAATTAATTGGTGCCTATTACCTGCCTTTTATTTGGCTTCAGTTTTCATCTAGATCCTCTGTAAAAATGTTCATTTGACAAATAATGTCGCACAGCATCAAAGTTATTTTTGACTTGAATTTTAAGGAATCTCAGGTTTGTGTCCCTGGAGAGCGAGCCTGAGTAACATGGTTGGGGAAAGACATAACCTTCAGCCTAGAGTACACAGCAGAAAATTCACGAGTCTGCATCAAGGAGTAGGTGTATCAAACCACCTTTGTCTTTTCTGTCATCAGTTTTTCGCTATTAAACCTTGTTCAGTAATTGTCACATAATTACGAATGTCCTTGTATGAGTGTATGCCAAAAAGGACAGCTAACGTGAATTCACTGTGGTGCCAGATACAGTTTCATGTATTTTCACGTTTAGTCATCTAAAGTCTTTCCTAATTAAGTTCAATTGATGTCCTCATTTTATTGAGAGGAAACTGAAGCTTCAGTGATTAAGAAACTGACTTGCCCACGGTTATATAGCTGGGAAGTATCCCACCCGTTGAGAATTATAACATGGGAAACTCAGGAAGGAAAGAGGTAAGACCGGAGCTTGAGTTGGGTTGTGTAAAAATAACAGTGCAATCCTTGGCTTTCTGTTTCTTTTTCTGTGTGCTCTTCTAGTTCAGTCTTCTCCACTCCCATAGTTTCAATCAATATATATTGATGATTTCCAAAATATCTGAAGATCACCTTTCTAAACTTTCAGGCCATCTGTAATCTCCATTTGAATGTTTCACACGTACTTCAAATTCCAACTAAAACTGAAACTCCAAACCTGCTATCCTTATTTGTTTCCCTTGTTAGTAAATGATCCCATCATCCAGTCAGATTGCCTGACCTTGGGTGGAAATGGTGGGGTCACTATTTATGACAAATATTGCACATCCATGATCCTTTTTGATCAGAAGTTCTTTGAGATCATGCCATGGAGTCACCTGATTCACCCATATTAGGATCATTCTCTGTGCCTCCCTCCTCTTCAGCCCCCAGAGTCACTCAGTTACAACTAATCTGCATTCTGCTTCCTAAATATCTCTGGAATCTATCCTATCTCTACTCTCATCCTAGATGTAGCCTCTCTCCTCTTGCCAGCATTACCACAGCTTCCTGACTCTCCCTGTACCATTGGTCTTCCTTACAATTTGAAATCCATATTACGATCAAAGTGATCTGTGTATATAAAGTACAGATATGGTCATGTCACTTTTGCTTTTTTTTTTTTTTACTTCCCTGCTGCCACATTGCTTTCAAAATTAAATCAACAATGTTCTTCAGATTGTTGTCGTTTTGTTTTGAGAGTATGTTTATGAAAGCTGGGGACACTGAAACAAGGAAGGGCTTAGGACAGAAGAAACAACAAGAGAGAGCCTAGGCAGGGCTGTGTTGGCTTACTGAGGATCAGAAGTCACACAGTAAAAGAGGTGAGCCAAGGCAGGGCTGCTCTTAGCTCACTTCTGTGTGAACAGAAAGTGAAAGAAAGGGGGGTCTTATAAACAGGTTCAGGCGGTTAGCCTAGGTTGGTTTGTCTCTTCAGTCTTTATTTTGCATTTTTATTTTAATGACTTCAGAATAGATAATGTGTCTTTTTATTGGATAGAATTATGTGTAGTACTTTGTTACTGGCTTTCTTGTATCATCCTGTTGACAAGGTTCATCCATGTTATAGCATGTATCTTTGTTTCACTTCTTTTTATTGTCAAATAATATTCCATAGTGTGGATAATACCACATTTTAATATATCTGCCATAATGGATTTTTCACTTGTATCTACTTTTTGGCTCCTGTGAATAACATTACTGTGAATATTTTGTATATGTTTTTGTGTGGATGTATGTTTTCATTATGGCATTGCTGGGTCATGTGGTAACTCTAACTTTTGAGGAATTTTCAAACTGTTTTCCAGGCATCTACACCATTTTACATTCCCACCATCACCTTAGGAAGATTCCTTTTTTCCATATCTTTGCCAATACCTGTCTTGACATTATAGCCTTCATAATGAATGTGAAGTGGAATGTGGTGGTTTTGATTTGTATTTCTTTGATGATTAATGATGAACATTTTTTCATTGCTTACTAGGCATTTTTACACATTTTTAGTGTTAAGAATTCTAAGATAAAATTATAATCTGTCTCTTCCTAGATTGTAGAAACAAAATCAAAAAAATTGTCCACATCAGAAAACAGAAAAAGGGATGCCGTTAGAGAAGAAAATGAAAGAAAATTACATGGATCATTTAATATACTTTTGGAAAAAATAGAGGGACTACCAGAAAAAAAGGAAAAGACTTCAGAGTCACAGGTATCAGCAGAATGCAGCACAGATGCATCACGAACCAGACAGGATGTGAATTTACCTACTTCTGTGTCTACCATAGCTGATACATTTCAAGAGCAACTGGAAGGGAAAAAATCAGAGGACTCCACTCGACCTATTGTGCTTTCTGCAGATCCAGGCACATGGCCACGAATTTTGAATATTAAACAACGGAGTATTCTTGTTGAAAATGATCCACCTCAAGTAAGAAATTTTAACTTTCCAAAAGACAATACAGGGAGGAAGTTTTCAGAAACTTACTATACACGAATTCTTCCAAATGGTGAAAAAACCACTAGGTCCTGGTTACTTTATTCAACCTCAAAAGATTCTGTGTTTTGTCTATATTGCAAACTCTTTGGGGAAGGAAAAAATCAGCTGAAGAATGAGAGTGGGTGCAAAGATTGGCAGCATTTATCACATATTCTTAGCAAACATGAAGAAAGTGAAATGCACATCAACAACAGTGTTAAGTATTCAAAATTAAAATCTGATTTGAGAAAAAACAAAACTGTTGAAACCGCAGAACATAAAGTATATGAGAATGAGAACAGTGAGGGTGTGCTGTTGCTGTACACCTGATATACCTGACAGGATCTTATGTTCATCTCAGAGGATATCTGTACCTAACAGTTAATACCATTGTGTCGTGAGGCACCTACACAGAGTAACTCAACTGTTATTAGCAATAAGCATAATAGCAAATAAATAATAAAGAATGTTTCTTTCCCAAATTGTAAAGCTAGTTGTATTCAATAGTGATTAATGCAAGTTTCAATAAAGGGAGTTAATTTTTTCAGTTAAGTCAGTTCACACCTTTTTAAAATGGCATTTGATAGGTTTGTTTAATTTTCTGTTCTGATTATGTTTAAAAAACTGAGAAAAAGGTTTAGATTTTTCAATACCAGTTTGAACAAAATACTTACGTAAACAAGTGTTTTCATCATCATCATTAAAATAAAAGCATTCAGCCCTGACCTGTGTGGCTCAGTTGGTTGGGTGTCGTTCTGCAAAGTGAAGGGTCCTAGGTTTGATTCCTGGTCAGGGCACGTGTCTGGGTTGCGGCCTCAGTCAATGGTCAGGGCATGTACAAGAGGCAGCTGATTGATATATCTCACGTTGATGTTTCTCTCCCTCTCTTTCTCCCTCCTTTTCCCAATCAATAAATAAATATTTATTAATTAAAAACCTCCAGAAGCAGTTTAAGAGCAGAATGAGATATGAAACTGCACCTTTTTGCTGTTAAACCAAATACTCGTGATTTATTTTATTTGAGCAAAACAGCGTCATTTGTTATATTCAGTACATTTTAAAGTGGTGAATTTGCATTTTATTGGCTCTGTTTTAATTGATAAATGTTTTAGCTTTTATTGTTAGAATTATAAGCATAAAGTGTATACCTATTTTTATGTTGGTAGAAATATAGGAAATATGAAAATAAAAATATATTAAGTTAACTTTTAGGCATTGTGGCATTTTCTTTTTTTCTGAAGGAGACTTCATGCTTGAAATCTGAGAAGTACTCATGAAAATTAAGGATCTCATTTTTCTCAGGTGGTCAATCAGTGTTCCCATGACTGTGTATATGCAGTATTTCTCCCATTGTTTCTGGTTCCTGGTACCACTTTTATCATATATTAAGTTCTTCGGAATATTTGTGGTTGTCTCAAGGCTTTTCCCAGGAGACAAAATGGCATATGGGAATAACAAGGTGCATTCTTGGTAAGACTGACACTCAGAGTACTTCCTGACATGTCAGTGAGGCCTGTGCTGGAGCACCCAGGGAAATCATTAATTTATAACCTTTTTTTGGTTTGGTTTGGTTTTTCTGCAGTGATCATATCAGTCTTTCAGACTTGAATGAATGAGCTTTTGGAGATGCTTCCAAAAATCCAGTTTGCCCTCAGAGGCACATGATGATATCCTAGAAAATATAAGCAAATGGTTAATATGTTTTTTAGTTCATTAAAGCTTAGAGTTAATTGAATGACAGATTTGTTCTCTGTTTATATTAGATAAACTGGTGAGTATCTGAGCAAAGTAATGAAATTAACCAGTGGCTACTTAAATAAGATCATCAAATTTATCCATTGGGAAAACAAAATTAGATCGTCACTTTAAAATCCTTTTGTTCTTATTGCACACCTATCAGGTACCATAAACCCTTCATGTAGTAATAAGTTAAATATAAAAAATTCAAAAGATGTAGGTGCTGTGTCTGTGTTCACTGTAAATTTCAACTTATTGGTATATATGATGTTTTTCATAATGAAATATTGAGGGGGAAATCAACTAAATTCAGGAGATGATAAAACTATCCCTAGGCAAGGGAATAACTTTTTGGTTTTTTTTAACATTGTAAAATTAGAATGTGCTTGCCATAAGGAAGGAAGGGAGAACACAGAATGAGAAGTGCAAGTTCTGTTTCCTGTGATCTGAACTATACCCAGGGTTTGTTTCCCATCCTTTTAATTTCACCCAGAAAAAGCATTAGACAAAAGTATCTCCCACCACTAATTTGATATCCAAAATTAGTAAGGACAATTCACAGTAACAGTCCTCAAGAAATGACAATTTATTGCTTTTCCCACAAGGACAAATGAATATTTTTTTTTACATAAACCTCACAATTTCAAAATTGCCATCTTTAAAATTGCTAGTGGAAAAAAAATTAATTACAATGAGCCACTTTCTTTCTGTGACTCACCCTGGCCCACCGCTGCACAGTGCTGTGAGCCAGTGAAAGTTGCTAATAGCCACTTTTATGTGTACATGGTACAATTTGCTACATAGATATAAAAGAGAGTAAGAGGTTGAAGAGCTCAATCAAATTTGGTAGAAAGAATAGTGCTTTATCAATGTAGGTCATATTTGCCCCTTTCAAAGCTTTGAAGATCCCCACTGCTGCTAGCTTAAAACTCCAGCTTAACACACAATACAAGATAGGTAGCTACTGTCATCAATGGCAGGTAATAGGGGAATGTTGTAGAGAGAACATGAAATAAACTTTAGAAATGGAATAGTCCTCTATAGTGCTGAATTATAGTGTGAACATACTAGAATGAAATTAGGAATTTGAAAATTTAACGAGCTGAAAGGAAAATCTCAGCCACACACATCTATTTATGAGAAAGTAAGGAGTTACTTTGAGGAGATAATAGCATAATATTGAGGACTGGAGATGATTTCCAAAAGCTTGTATCATTACTGTGAAAAGAACTAGCCAATGGCATTTTATGAAGTTTAAGGACAAACACTAAATCATCCAACATAAAGGATGGTCAGGTGACACTGCAAAGTGTAAGGACCTAGCAGCATTAACCAGTCTAGATAGATAAGACAGATGACAGATAGAGCCACATTAAAATAGACTCTGGGCTGCCACGTCAGAGAAGCTGTCTTATATGTCTCATGCCTCAAACCTTAGAGTGTTAAAACAGGGCAAAATAACCTTTGAACTGAGCCTAAAGTAACACTATGTTCCAAAAAAATGTTCACAAAAATTAAAAAAAAGCAGATCTTATGACTACTGGAAGATGGCTACAGGATTGAAATTTAAAAATATTGTTTAGAATTAACATCACTATGTTAGCTTATCTGCAACAATAGAAATGCCTTCCTTCTATTAATGTAATTGTTCCCTTTACCCTCCTCATAAAAACCCTTTGTCTTTGTCTCCTAATTGGAATACTGTTTGGGCTTCTGCCTGAATCAGTGGGTCTGAATAGCTATTCTTTGATCTTCAAATAAATATAAGTTGCCCTGGCTAGTGTGGCTCAGTGGATTGAGAGTCAATCTGCGAACAGAAGGGTTGTAGTTTGATTCCTGGTCAGGGCACATGCCTGGGTTGTGAGCGAGGTCCCTGGTTTGGGTCATGGAAAAGGCAGCCAATTGATGTTTCTCACATTGATATTTCCCTCCCTCCCTTCCCCTCTCTCTAAAAAAATAATATTTTAAAAAAATAAATGCATGTTGCTGCTCCTTTTGAAAAGCTTTTTTATTTTTAGGTTATAAAACCTATGAATGCCTGTGAAATGTGATCCATACTCAGAGGGGCAAGAACATGCAAAAGACGAAAGTTAAGAAGCAACAGTGCAGCCCCCGCTGGTGTGGATCTGGATTGAACACTGGCTTGTGAACCACAAGGTTGCTGATTCAGCTCCCAGTCAGGACACATGCCTGGCTTGCAAGACAGGTACCCAGTTGGGGGTGTGTGAGAGGCAACTCAGGCAACCAATCAATGTTTTTCTCCCTCTCTTCCCCACTCTCTAAAAATAATAAAACTTTTTAAAAAAGCAACAGTGCAAAGTAAACAAGCAGAATAGAATAAGTAGAATAAAGATAACATTTTGATGTTTGCCACATGGGAGTGTGGGTGAAAAAGGTGAAGAGATTAAGAGGTAAAAATTAGCCCTGACTGGTATGGCTCAGTGGACTGAGTGCTGGTCTGTGAAACAAAGGGTTGCTGGGTCAATTCTCAGGGCGTATGTCTGGGTTGCAGCCCAAGCTGCAGGCATGTGAGAGGCAACCACACGTTGATGTTTCTCTGTCTCTTTCTCCCTCTCTTTGCATCCCTAGAAATAAATATTTTTAAAATTTAGAAGATTATATATTGTTTTTAAATGAACAATTAGTAGTAACAATAGTCATGGGGATGTAAAGTACAGCATAGGGAATATAGTCAATAACATCCTAATAATGATGTCAGATGTGTTGTGGCCAGTGATGTGGGCTGTGAAAGAATTCAAAAAATGAAGAAAAGGTAGAGAGCAAAGTGTTACTCACATTCCAAGAGGAGAAAGGGGCATGGTGTGGAGAGATACCCAGCAGTGAAATGCAAGGGCTTTGAGTTTTTACTGGATTATCATTGGATTATAAAGTAGGGGAGACCGTGTGGTCCCTGGTCTGTTAGGGCTGTTGCAACACAGGAGGTTTCACTTGGTTTTGCATAACCTGCAGTTTTCTTCAATGTTTCTTTCGCCTGTGGTTGTGAAGGTTGGGGAGGGGTTTGGGGGGGGTGCGGTTGTTAGTCACATTCTGTTCTTGCTTTCCAGTAATTTCCAGTCCTGAACATAAGCTCAGAAGAGTAAAATGGCAGCCATAGGTCTGCTTGGCAAATGGCACCAGTTTTATCCTTTCAATTCCCCTTCTCATTTTAAAAGTATTTTATTCTTAATGACCCGGCAAGGTTCTGGGGAGCAGGGACAAGGTCTCTTTTTCTATAACCACTTCAGACAGGTTAGGGATATAGAGCTATCCCTGCCTGTGGGTCTGGGTATGGGTTATTAAGTGGAAAAGGGTGGAATTGGACATCCCAAAAAGTACAAGCTGTGGCTGGAAGCTGTTTGTGGAGGGAATCCGTCAATGCCTGCATGTTCTGTTGAATGAAGGATATGAGATATTTGAGGAGACAGCCCAAAAGTGAGAATTAAAAAAGGCTACTGTAGGTCCTCTTAAGGGAGTTAGCCAGGAAAACCAGGACCAGCAATTGGTCTTAAAATCCCAAAAAGGGAGAGACAGTAGTAGTTAAGTTCTGTATGGTTGACATGGCATCAGTATTTCTCAATAATTCCAAGTCAAAGGATGAAAGAAAAAAATGAAACATTAGCTTGGTAGAAAACTAGAAAAATTAGGATTTAATTCAGTTTGTGGGTGACAGTTGGACATGATGATTTCCACTGAAACACAATTTCTCTCCCTAAAGTCACACTCATTTTATCAAAGAGACTGCATTCAGTCCAGTTTCAACTTGGCCTGATTGTTTGCATGAACACAAGAAGAATAGTCATTGATTACCTAGGCTCTTTCAAATCTGCTTTGCTGGAATTTCACAAGGAAAATTCCAAATGAGCTTTAGTCAACCCTTTAGGACACAGAAGCCAAACCATACAGTTGCCATCTGGATTTGTCTGCAATACCTATAGGTTTGGATGGATTCCTCAAGTTCTTAAGGTCTCCAAAATGTCTTCAGATTCATTTCTTGTCATTTTTCAGGAAAGCAACCTTTGTTCCTTACCTGGAAAGACTGCCATGAACCACGTTACAAAGCAAGCTACCAGGCTATTTCTCCAAGGAGCTCTTATTGGCTTTAAAAGTCGATCTTAATTCCTTAAGGCTTTCTGGTGACATCCAGAGTCCAGGCATGATTCTTTCAGTTATGACATTCCAGACAAAGGCTTGGTTAATAAAACCATTTTTGGAAACTGGTGCTATAATAAAGAGAACAGATTCTTAATTCGGTTTACGCAAACAAACATATTGCCATGAAAATAATACTTATTAAGAGTTTCCAAATCCTGCAGGAATTAGGGAGAAAAATGTAAGTGTTTCAATATTGTTTATGAGGGTATAAATTATCAAATTG